TGCTGTACCTCCCGATTAGACCCAACCCAGCACCACCAAAGCAGGTACCCAAAAAGTCGACTTTTTGGGTACCTCCCGATTTACCATCGGACGTCAGCTCTTGCATGAACCCCGTGACGCGTTGGGTTCTGCGGCCTGTGGGGCCGCAGGGCGCTGCCCATGGTCTAGGGTACATTCAAGCGCCACAAGTGTCGGCGCCCGGACTTGTGCTGAATCGATCGGTTTCTCCTGGCGACCCAACCCATTACCACCAAAGCAGGTACCCAAAAAGTCGACTCGGCGCCCGGACTTGTGCTGAATCGATCGGTTTCTCCCGGTGACCCAACCCATCACCACCAAAGCAGGTACCCAAAAAGTCGACTTTTTGGGTACCTCCCAGATTTACCATCGGACGTCATCGCTTGCATGAACCCCGTGATGCTGAACCCTTCTCCCCATAAAGGATATCATTGCCTAAGAGTTCAGACCCATCACCACCACAGCAGGTACCCAAAAAGTCGACTTTTGGGGTACCTCCCAGATTTACCATACGTGATCTCTTGCATGAACCCCGTGGTGATGATGATGCGTTCCTCACCGACGAGTCCGCGTCTATATCCTGCTGTCCAGGCACACTCTATCGCCGAGGACCCCTCGCAGGCCAAACTGCAAAGGTGGGTTCCACGATAGAGGACTGTCTCTGTTTTTTCAAAAGTCGACTTCTTGGGTACCTCCCAGGTTTACCATCGGACGTCACATGAACCCCGTAATGCTGAACCCTCGTCCCCATTAAGGATATCATTGCCCAAGAGTCTAGACCCAACCCAGCACTACCAAAGCAGGTACCCAAAAAGTCGACTTTTTGGGTACCTCCCAGATTTACCATCGGACGTCAGCTCTTGCATGAACCCCGTGACGCGTTGGGTTCTGCGGCCTGGCGCTGCCCATGGTCTAGGGTACATTCAAATGCCACGCGTATCGGCGCCCGGACTTGTGCTGAATCGATCGGTTTCTCCCGGCGACCCAACCCATTACCACCAAGGCATCCCTTTGCCAAGGGTTCCAAAGCGGGTCCCACAAAGGCGGGCACTGATAAGACCCGAGAAGGTACCCACAATCACCACGGCCACGTTCTGTGACACATCCGTTCCTCTGGACACCACAGTTGTTTTGAAGCCACTATAGGTTGCTCACATGTCATGGTAGCACCCGCTTCGCAGTCTGTGCGTTGTCGTCTGTTTCCGTAGCGAAGCCTAGAGCATTCCTAGGAAAATGCTAGAAAAGCCTTTGAAAGTTCCATAGGTTAGCAAAAGGTTACCAATTTTTGGGAGAAATCTGGAAAGGTTACCAATTTTTGGGAGAAATCTGGGAACCTAAAAACAAGAGGAAGCGCTAGAAAATTCTTGGAAAAGCATCCAGCCGAATACATAACAAAATCTAGACAAAGCCGAGAGCATTCCTAGGAAAATGCTAGAAAAGCCTTTGAAAATCTCATAAACCAACAGAAAACATGACAAAATCTACGAAAAAGCAAGGGCATTGGCCGGGACCACGCCGCGACCAGCCCAGGATTCGAGCCCAGGACCATTTTGGACCGTGCTTATTTTCCCGCGCGGGTCAAGAGGGTGCCCCAAGATGTAAATCAATTGGGATGGCAGAATCTTGGACAATCCAGGTCACCATCAGGCCGCTTTCAGGTCGCAATCCCGTCAAATCTCGTAGCTTTTAGGTCGGGATTTCGTCACTGCAACAAAGGTCCGGAGGGGTAGGGGAGATAAGGTCTAAGGCTAAGGCTACGTCTAATCCTAAGGCTAAGGCTGAGGCTAAGGCTTTAAGTCTAAGGCTAAGGCTAAGGCTAAGGATTAAGGCTAAGGCTAAGGCTTAAGGCTAAGGCTAACATCGACAGTCACGGTGTGGGGTCGGCGGATTTATGCACATGATCACGTATTCGCATGATGAGACGCCAACGAGGTTTCTATCTGTCAGCTCTGAGAGGGAGGAACTATGCGCACATGACATTTTAACCGTTTTTCTGTCGCCTAAGGGGCATCACAGAGCAAGCGCTGGTTATGAATCAATCGGAAACCATATTCAAAAATTACTAATGACATCGCGTGAACCACCAGAAGACCCCAGGTGATCTATCCCCACAACACACGCTTTTGCAAAAAGCAGAGTATCACCAATGATCACCTTCTTTTCAACTTACATCAAACGTCAAGTTGATCACTTCAAACGTCAGGGCTTTGCAAAGTGGATGCTTTTCTAGCGGGCTTCTTGCAGGCATCGCCGACTGCATCTTCGATGCTTCTCTCCACCAAATTGAAGAATTTGGTTTTATGTCCTCAGAATATGTGGCCGGTGGCTGGGGCCTTGAAGATCTAGGTCCATTCAAGTATGGACAGCACTTTCTCAAGACTTTTACTTAACCTTCGTTTTCTTTTGTTTCATTGTAGTCGCCTTTGCAATATTTCATGCCATGTTGTCACTTTGCCTCTGGAACAGTCAACCGTTGTACTGTAGGTATTGTGCCTGCACTCAAGGGTGGAAAATTTTCATGTCAACTAGATTGCGGACACGATTTTGTAGATGCTCATCTTCGTGTCCTGTTACTTTGTTCAGCCTAGGTGCAGTTGTGCAATGCTCTCATTTTGGAGGCTGACTTTCGTTGTTAGCTAGCATATCCTGTGCTTCTGCAGGAAGGAAAGCGTTTGTCGTTTGTGCACTGCTGGTCAATGTTCTGCCGTGTTCCAGTGCACTGTGTCAGTTATCAATCAGTGAAAAAAGTTGTGTCAACTATTTTGCCAGGCTATCCGCAAAGAAGATGCTGCTGAAGGTACAATTAGCGCACTGTTACTCTACCTGGACCTAGACCCGATATCTACGAACCCTAGAGATTTTGTAGACTGCAGATTCAGGTTCAGATTCTGAATGTCGCTTGAGTTTCAATGCCAGGACCCTACTAGGGGCTGCTGGCCTTACTACTAGGAGCAAGGTGGACAGCAGAAGTTCAATCAACTTGTGCCAGGCTCTCCTTTGCGGCAGGCAGAAGCTGACGGCATATGTCGCGAACTGCAGGAGCAGAAGGGAATGGCAACAGGGATAATATATATATATATATTGAATACTGATTAATTGGGGTCATGCTTTTGATAGCCCTTAGCTTTGGGCTCATGGCGTCCAATGCAAGGACCACCTTGTTGCATTTTGAGGGGATGTGCAGCACAGATTAGCCGAGGACAAATTGCTGTTCTTGGCAGTTCGCTAAGGGACTTTCTTCTCGGCACAATGCTTGGCTTGTAAAGCTTGTTGAGCATCCAAGTATGTGTCCACGTGTGCTGCAGGCTTGGCTTACAAATTGAATCGCAGGATCTGACTGAACCCTAGGTCTTAACTCTTGACACGTGTTCGCGATCCCAGTCCTGGTATATAAACAAAAATGAGGGGCTCTCTAGAACCTGCATGTTTCTACGGACCTGAAAGAAAGCAGCTGCAGCGTTCACTCCTTTCGCTCCACTCCTTTTGACCTCAACGTGGGAATTGTGCCTCGGCCCTGCTGGAAACCGTCCTCAAGATGTCGATCTCCGTCAATCTGCAATGTCGAACACAGAAGAAGCTAGAAGAGCAGCATCACCCCCACCCTTTGCGAGGTTGAGCGAACCAGATGGAGGGCGATGGCGGGGACTTCCGACAACGAAGATCCAGTGTGGCCCACATGAGGTAGCGGCATTTCGGTTGTGCCGAGGGTATAGCAAAGCCTGTAAAGATTGGCGACCTCCATGAGAATGCGCTGTTTCTACTTCCTTTTCTTCAACACATCAAGGTCCTTGGGAGCAGCTGGTTCCTTTTATGCCAACATGAACATCATGAACAATGATTAGAATACAATGAATACAATTCGTGCCAAGTGGCCAAGTACTTTGCGGGCCACCCCACCCATCGTGTAGCTGTTTGAAGGGGGGGAGCGCTCGCTGCAGGTTGAAAACAGTTCGCCAGACAATCTCCTTGAAAAGAGATGTGCCGACTTTGGCAGATGCGGGAGTGCCGACATCAGGTGCGAGAGTTGGTGCTGACGTGCTCCCACATTGATTTGCTTAATTCTTTTAACCTTCTAGCTTTAGGGGCCTTGCTGCTTGCAGGTGCCTTTTGACATGTTTTCAGTACGATTTCAAGGTAGAGCCACGAAGCAGATCTTGGGCCCCTGGACGGTTGGTCCTTCCACTGTACATATGACATGTATCATCCCACCGTAAAAGCGGGAACTGTATATAATGCTTTCCAATGCCTCGCCAGTCTCGATTGTTGTTCACAATGAGGCAACAAGCGTCAAAGCCAAAGCCAGAACCGACCCGTCCTGAAACTTGGCATGAGATGAGATGGTCTGTTTACATGACAAATCATTCACAGAGTTCCAACACCAGCTCCCCCGACTCAATATATCGGCCTGCCATACTTGCTGGTTCTTTGCTACATGCGCATGCACAATCGGACGAGATGAAACATTGGCATCTCCCTCCGGAAGAGGCAATATTAGCTGTTGACCTAACTGATAATGAATGGTGTTGAAGGTTAGACAACAGGTGAAGACAAACATGTTCTCCTCTATTCACAAGACCATGTGTTGACACCAACGCAGTCAAAGTGTTGAGACTAACAGATTTGCTGTGACAAACCTGCCCCTGAGTCGCTTGTTGGCTGAGCTTGCCGAGAGCCACGAGGATCTTGTGAGCCGAGGCAGGTAGAAAGGACTTGAGATGCCAGCCAGACTCAGTATATAGATTGTATCTTACGGGAGTCTTGAGCAACCTGCAATAACTGTTTGATCAAGATCCAGGAATGTCACAGCCCAGACTTGTATATCACATCCATGGTCCAAGAAACACTTGTTGTAAAATGTTGTAAACCGTAAGCCGTAAACCGAAAAGATGTGACAGAAGAGTTCAACATAATTAACTCAAGAGTTATGTCTTTTACAACCAATGTCTCCACACGTAGCGTTCTCAAACATAACTCTATATAGTGTTAATTCTTTTCAACTCTTCTGCACATATTGAACTATTAACTCTTGATTTTATTACTCCACAGAGTAACCCCCCTTTGCCAAGGCGTAACTGTTGATTTCATTCCTCCCCAGGAGCAGTCCCTTGCAGGGGCTCCCTATAGGGCCACCCAGCACATCAACATTGAATGACTGCAAGGCATCAGAAAGAGACCTATCAAGGCAAAGCCTGGCATCACTAACCCCCATTGCAAAGAAAATTGACTCCTGATTTACAGTAGTTCCTTCTCCCCAGCGGTAGAGATGTAATGAGAGTCAATATGCGGCAAGTCACTGTAAGTTAAGATACACAAGGCACTCAATTTTGGCGCAACATACAAGAAACGGCGATGTTTGGTATTAAGCCCAGCTAGTTGAATTTTGCTTGGTGTAAATTTGTGGTCAACGACTGTGTCAGGCGCATGGGATTCAACAAGTGCTGCTTGGCTTTCATATTGAGAGGCGCAAAAGCCTATGCAAGTTTGATCAATCAATTGTTTGTCTTGTGATGGTTTAGATGCTGAGCCGCAAAGGCAACATAATTATGCCGTCCGCGCACCGACTGCATTTGATTTGGATCAGTTGAAACAGATAAACTTGCAGCTTGGAGTTGATGTTGGGCATGTGCCCACTTTAGTTTCTTCCCATCACATTATCCGACTCAATTCAAACATGCTCAAAGTCGTTCTGTTGTTTCACATGATTTTTGATTCGAGAGGCTTAAAGAATATCCACGGGGAGCGACAACCGAATCACCTGTAGACACAGGATTGAGGGACTTGCTTCTACTGCGGTTCGTTCCCAAATAAATCCAAGCGTTTCACCAAACATTTTGAGATGCACATGTTGAAGTTGAAGTATGTTTCTGCCCAAGGCCCTCTACTTTGCTTCCGTGCTGGTGGCCGCAGTTTCTTCCCTGGTGGGCGGACAACGTTCATGGTTGAAGGTTGGCGGACCAGCTTTACTTAGACGTGGTGGCAGGTTTTATTTATCAAGAGTAGTGAGCACAGGATTTTGTTTGACCAGTAGATACTGGTAGCATTCAGTGACCCAGGTGCCCAAACCAACTGCATAGCAATATGTATGAATATCTGGTCTTCTCGACTGCATGCCCCATGTGAAAGCAGGGGCTTTGGACACGATGGTTGGTAAGAACAAAGACCCTATCGATTTGGTTACAATAACCCTTCGACCCTTTGTCCAGCCACGTCCTACTGTCATTGCTTACTCAAGCATTAAGACTGGCTAAACCAGCCTGAGACCAGTTTTTGGGGTTGAGTTTTTCTACAGGTTTTGATATGGTTGGAGGTTATGATTTTGATATGGTGTGAAAATGTGGTTGTGGTTTTGGTTATGATTTTGTTATGATTGAGAAAGGTTCCCTTGTGGGGGGAGGAGCGCTCGGGTGGCTGGACCATAAGAAATCCATAAGAAAAGTGTAACGCTTATGGTTTTGTTTTGATTTTGATATGGTTTTGGTATGGCTTGCCTTTTCCGCGGGCTGGAGGCAGGTTCCAAAGTGGTGAGAGGCCCTGGAAAGGCTATCAAAAGGCTTTTGAGTGGGCCAGGGCTTGGAAGAAAGGTTCCCTTGTGGGGGGAGGAGGGCTCGAGTGGCTGGACCATAAGAAATCCATAAGAACATCATATTCAAACCAGTATCAAACCCATATCAACAAATCATATCAAAACCATAACAAAATCATGAGCAGAAAACCACTATATAACTTGAGAAGCCATAATAAAACCATAACAGCAAATCATATCAAAACCATAGCCAAACCCCCAAAAAAACTATTTTACATACATGCTTCTGTCGCACCTTGGCCAGTCTTAACTCAAGCACATTCCTTATATATATAATGTACGAGCTACTTTTATCAGGGACGGGACGTTTCATTGACGTTGCCTTTCGTAGGATCTCCTCGAGAAATGATGACTGATGATTGTCAAAACATGATAGATCGAACGGTTTTTTACGCTGCCTCATACGACCTTTTTTCTCACTTTTAAACCATTCTTTTACCCCTTCAATTGACAAGGGGTCCCAGAGCGATTTGGCCTCTCCCTGCAGGGCTCATGGTCTTTGGGATTTCTGCAGCTTCTCTTCGTTTGGCTGTTAGGCACACGCTGTGCCAAATTGCTGGTACAAAATTGGAAACATGGCCAGTGCATTATCACGGAGGACACCATAAATCATTCAGAGTATAAATCAATGCTGTTCATAGGGTGTCGACCAAGGAAGCATCTTCCGATTCCTGCAGCGGCTGATGGGACGACCTTCGCCATCCTTGCCGCCTTGAGGTGCGCACAATATCGACAATCTGACCATGAGGTGACGTGTCAACATGTGTCAATAACCATTGCAGGTCATGAATCACATTGAATGCCATGCCAGTCGTCATGATATTGGATGATTACTGTAGAGCCACTGTAGAGCTGTAGATTTTCATACCACCCCGCTGTGGAGCTGCTTGTGGTGGTGACCTTCGATGAACTAGTGGAGGGGCATGTTTTAAACAGCATGTTCATGATTGTTAATGTTTTAAGATGAATTATTTTTCAGAATTGCTTGTTGTTGCTTTTGCATATAATGCTGCTTTTTAGCTTTTGGTGTTCCCTTTTGCTTCAGTTGCTTTTTGTTGCTGGTTTGCTTTGGTGCTTGCTTTTGCTTTTCTGTTTTTGTTTCTTTGTTGCTCTTGTTGCTTGTTCCTGCTCTCCGTACATTTGAGTCGCGCTATGTACTTTGAACACCGTGAATTTTTGCGCTGCAATTGTTGCTGTGTCCCTGTCCCTTTGTTGATTTTGCTTCTGTTGCTGTTGTAGCAAGCAGCGTTTGTCAGGATAGTCTGTCAGTGCATGTGCTCTGTCTTCTTCCAAATCGCCTCTCAGGGTGGGGATCAAAGTAAGTAAAGTATGCACCACAAACTTCCTCCATTGTACTTTGCCTGCTACGACAGCTGTGGTGTCTTTCAAGTGGCAGCCCTGCTGCCGACATGGTTCTTTTTACAGGTCAGCCATGCCGCATTGTGCCCACAATGCCTCTTCAAGGACACCCAAACTGCTGCAAATAGCAGCAAGTAGTGAGCCCCAAGGAAAGTTCTCGAGCAACAAACAGGCATCAATTAAAACCACACCCTTAATGAACGACTTCAATCACTGCAGCGTTTATAAATACGTTGCCGTGCAGATCCTCTTTGAATGGCTTTGGTGGGCCGCTGTCTGCAGCTCTATTGCTGGCCTATCGACATTGGGCAAGCCACCTGGTTTTGTGGGCATGCTGAAGACTGTCAAGACTTGGTGAAGACCAATGGTCATTTGCGTCCTTGCATGTATCTTCCACCTGCCAATTCTGGCCGCTTTGACTCTCAGGGTGCGAACTTGAATGAACCAGTTTCAGACGGGAGAGTTGTGCTTAGCGAGAACCCCTGCACCACAAAGGGAGTCTTTCAATCCAGTTTATACTGAACCAACCTAAAACATTGACTTAGGGACACTGCATCCATGTTGAATTGTTCATGGCAGCCAGTTGACCTCATTGTCAAAATTGTGCAGCGCAAGGAAAGATCACTGTTTGTACTGTGATATGCTTGATGCTCAGCATTCTTTGGTGACCGCATTGTAACTCGAAGTCTATTCAGAGTTATACAATGTTTGCAGAACCCTTACAAATCAAGTCAAATATTGACTGACTCTGATTGCTTATGATGCATGACTGCATGACTATACAAAAAGAATTTGGATGACTCGGCAGTCCCAATCCTGTCAAGGTGCCCACAACATGCACTGAGGTGTTTCGACAGGGGAACAGTTCCTCAGCATCCAACTATTGAGGCTGATCGGGCCCACGACTTTTAGTTGAGACTCTAGTATTCTTTTAACATCTTTTAACTCGTTACCCGTTATGTTTGCTTCTGTGGTTGTGATACCAGTGTCGTTCCCAGGTTAAGTTCTAGATCGACATAGTCAGATTGTTTCTGCTGGCTTTGTTGGTAACAATTTAATTCCACCGGTGAAAACAGGGACAAGAGTGGCGCAGCCAGACCCTCGTCAAATCTAAAGGACTATTGGCATCCAAGATAAATGGACACCGTGAGACATCACATTCCTTTCTCAGCATGTGTGTCCAAGGTCGAAAGGCCAAGTGGACCTTTACTCATGCAGTATACTTTAGCACACACCCCACTTGCGTCGAAAGAAGATCTCTCACGTCAACACGACTAATCCTTGTCGTTCAAGTTCTTTCATGGCGTGTTAGTCTCGTAGCAGAACACAACCATTCAAGGTCGGCCCAGACAGGAACCAGCCTAATATATATAATATATGGTTGTCGATCTAAAGGTCCTAGTCAGCAGTGTGTATGACGATGACCCGGAACATATCAAAATCTCATTTGGCGAAAGTTTTTTCTCGAGTTGGCGAAAGTAATTTTTTTTTTGGCGAAAGATCTGGCGAAAGATTAAATATGTACTTTTGTATGAATGTTCATTTGCTTTCTGAACAGCTGGTGGCAGTGACTCAGAAGCTAGATAAGCTGTGGAAGTTAGATAACCTGCTGCTGCTGCGGCTGCTACTACTACTACTACTACGACTACGACTACGACTACCACTACCACTACCACTACCACTACCACCACCACGACCACGACCACGACCACGACCACTACCACGACCGCTACCGCTACCGCTACCGCTACCCCTACTACTACTACTACTACTACTACTACTACTACTACTACTACTACTACTACTACTACTACTACTATTCCTGCTCCTGCTTTGGGGGGTGGCTTTGCCACAAAACTCTACCCCGCAAAAGGCGAAAGTTTGGCGAAAGTTCAGCTCAAGATTGGCGAAAGTTCACCCTGCCACATCTGACCCCCAGCCCATTATGAGTAAGTTTGAGTGACCGGCTACTACAGTGATTCTTGCAATTTTGATTCTTGCTGACACCCAGGAGAAACAAAAGAGACGTACTGGGTGTCAACAGTTAAGTAGAAGACACATGCTGACAAACAGTGAAGTTTCTATTTTGTGTTTGCCAGTGAAGCCATTGACGTGAACAAAACACAACATACATGGCACACATAAATACAACGTACTTCGGCGAAAGATAAAACGCAGGAAGGCGAAAGTTTGGCGAAAGTAAATTTTTTTAGCGAAAATGACGGATCCCGGATAAAGGAATTTAGATCAACTCCCATATATAAAACTGTGTCGAGCTTTGGGCAGGTTTGGGTGCACAGTCTTCATTACATTTGGTACACTGTCCATTTTGGCTCAAGCCAAAAGTGGGACAGTGGAGTTTCTGTTCTGCTTAAGTTTTGCTGTGTTTGCTGTGGATGGCTTCACAGCATATCGTCGGTGTGCATGTCGCCATGTTCACGGATGCTGAGGTGCTTTCGTCCGCCGCGTTCATCGAGTTCCGTCGCCAGGTTGATGCCCTTTTGGCCCGGGGGGACCGGGCAGGCGCGGTGCGGCTCTGGAGCTCGGTGGTTCTATTTGAACACATGCCTCCGTCTTCACGCCCGGGGGACGGGCCAGCTGGCTTTCCCCCTATGCGGATGTCCGTCTGTCCCAAGAGTGTATGCCCACGGTGCGATCAGGGGCGAGGGGGCTATGTCTTCCCGTGGGTCGGGATTTGGAACCGGCGCGGGACGATCGTGCCACCAGGGTTCACTCCTCAGCATGCCTGGGATAGGCATGCTCGGTTGGACGCCTCGATGGACCTTCTCTTGTTGCAGCCCTACCGTACCCCGTATTCTGCAGACAATCTTGCGCCCTCCTACTTGTGGGAGTTCCAGCAGAAGGTTCCTGGGGATTTTGACCTCTTGCCCCTGCAAACTTTCCAATCTGAAGTTCTCTACTATATGCGGCACTGGATTTTGGGATCACCACACGGGTTGTGGTCCAACCCCTTTCGTGCCCCGCTGCCAGATATTGAGCACTTGCCGCGCCATCTGGACGCCCTTCACCCGAAGATTCGTGCCCATCGAGCCCTTCGTGGATGGTTGGGATCCTCAATCAACGGAGAGTCCGAGTTTCCTCCAGCGTGTTGCGGCTGTGGTGATCCCACTTATCGGCAGTGCCTTGGTTGTATCAAAGGAGTGTGTTCCGCCTGCTTCCCAGTGCTCCAAATCTGTCCGGTTTGCCGCGAACTTTCGTCGTCTGATGACGATAGTGGGTAGTTCAGCGGGTGCGCAAGCCATGGTGTACCGTGCGCAAGTCGCTGGAGCCGTGGAGGCTCCGCCGGATGAGCCAGCCTCGTCCTCTGGTTGGCGGGCGGAGGACAGCCTCGCCCGAGTGGCAGGGGCTCGCGCCATTACCTGGCGGCGTGAGCGTGGCTATGAGAAGGACGAGGACTTCGCATTTGCCTTCTCTACCTGGGAGGAAGCTGTGGCCGTGGGAGGCCATTTCTTGGCAGATGCTTGGCTGGCAGTCCGTGTTGCCCAACAGGAGGAACTTCTTCCTGCAGCTGCTCGTCTGATCGAGGGGGGACCTCTGTTGCCGGATACACGTCCTCCGCTGGCTCGCAAGAGGAAAGAAGCTCCACTTGAGGCGGGGGTACGCCTTCATGAGCGCGTCCAGGATCAGCCTGAGTCCAAACAGCGCCAGGTGTTGGCCCTGCAGAAGGTGTTCCTGACGGTTGGCGCCTTGAAGCCAGATGGGCTAGATGGGCTGTTGACTGAGGCCCTGAAGCGGGATTGGCAGGCATCCGTCCTTCGTTTGGCCCCAGACCAAGGTGGCGGAGTCTGAGTCGGTGACGATTCAGAATGCCCTCCGCACTTACGGGGAGCTCCACGCCTTTTTGCTCCACCGTGGGAGGTCGTTCCCTCCGGCCTTCGTGGACATGGACAACTTCCTGCATCAGGGGACGATGGCCCCTACCCGCGCGCTCAATGCGCTTCGCTGGTTGCGCAAGCATTCAGGAGCTCCTTGGGACATCGGCCGGCTTCGTATCTCCCCTGAGCTGAAGAAGAAGGCCACCTCTACGAAGAGTCAAGCCCTTGTTGTGGAGCCCGGCATGCTGCAGTTGTTGGAGGAGCGCATCGAGAGCATGTGCCGTGGGGGGGACCCGCGATGGACATGTCTCTTAGGCTCCTGGCTTGTGGCTACTGGTTGCTTGAGGTACCAACATCTTCGTCGGTCCACTGTTCGTCGAATCAGTCCGTTGGTGTTCCATGGCCACTGTCGCAAAGGCAAGCAGCGTCACGCCCGAGGTGGATTTGACTGGTGTGCTCCTGCCGAGTTTGCTTCTGGCTTCAACTGGACAGTTGATTGGCTCAAAGCCTGGAAAGCCCTTTCTCCGGTGGCCCAGAAGAGTTCAGGAATTTGCTTTGACAGGCGTGGGACGCCTTGGAACATTGCCGAGGTGCAGCACCTCTGCCAGTCAATCTTCGCCGAGTTCCTGGACAATACCGAGCAGCTGACCACCTACTCGTGGCGACGCATGCTTCCCACCGTGGGCCACATTCTGAATTTGTCGTCCTCTGACCTTTGCTCCCTCGGCGATTGGCAGGACAAGCCAAAGGAGCCGGCTGAGGCTGGAATGGCACTGCACTACTCGTCGGCCCGTTATGCCCAGTCGCTTCGCAACAAGATCCTGACCACTTCAGTGGCCCACAGCTGTGAGGGTCACAGCTTTTGGCAGGAGGTGCTCCCTGCTGACTTGGATGGTTTCCGTGAGGTGGCCAAAGAATCGCTCGCCTTGGCCATAGCGAAGGACAAGGAGACGCGGTATGCTGCTCAGCCAACCAAGGAGTCGTTGAAGACGCATCTTCAGTTCTCGAGGGCCCGGGTCGCAACAGCAGCGGCCAACAAAATCCGAGGAAGCACCTCGCGCCGGACGGTGTCCATGCCGGATGCCATCCGTGGCCGCGTGCTGACGGCCTTCTTGAAGAATGGGCGTCGCCTTTGCGGGGCTTTCCAGACGCCCGAAGGTTGCACGGAGGGAGAAGGGGTTTGCGGGAACGCTCACCTCTGCGCTGTGCTTTTGGCCCGGGGGCGGGCTTGTGGAGAGAGCCACGGTGCATTTATTTGCACCGAAAAGAAGTATTTGCCGGCCGAGACGCCAGTTCCAGTTCGAGCGTCGACGACACCGGCTACTACTACTACGTCCTCGAAGGCCAAACCCTCCGCGAGCACCAAGCGCAGACGAGAGGCTTCACCCCAGCCGAGCGCTCGGCCAGATGCAGCGGAGGCACCATCTCCACGGCCCAAGACGCCTCCGAAGGCGCTCCCACACAAGGCAGTTCCGCCCAAGCTAATCGCACATCGGCCAAGAAGAGGCCAAGAGGTCCGAGAGATCCTTCACCACCACTACTGGCCAGGACTCCCCCTTGGAGACAGCCTTCAGAGCCAGCACCGAGTACTCTGCCCATCCCAGCTGTGTCGCCAGGTCCTCAGCAGTCGCATTGGGACCGTTTGGCCACCTCCGAAGGGCGTGACACTCTCGCCCCTACCCTGATCACGACGACCCGGTCTGCAGGGGGCCAGCTGTGGCTATCGGGTATTCCCATTGCTGAGACGGCGCAGCACTTTCCAAAGACTCACCTCCAGATCGCTTGCCTACCACAATACCCCGAGGGTCGGGGAGGCGTGTCATTGCCGCAGGCATGCGTCATGAAGGTTCAGATGGGCAGCAAGCGCATGGACCAAGAGTTCAGGACTGCATGGCCTCTCATTCATCAGAGTCTACATTGTGGTGATTCCGTGCTCGTGCACTGCATGGCTGGCAAGCACCGAGCTCCTGCCTGTACAGCTCTCATCTATGCACTCATGATGGGCACCTCAGTGGATGAAGCAGCCGA